GAATTCCGCCCTGCCAAGCGTATCAATCCTACTCATCTTTAGGGATTTATCGTGCCAACTGCCTTAATAGGAAGGACATTATAAGAAAAGTTTTATAGAGGAGCCCGCGGAAGTGAAGAGAAGTTTTTTAGTTTTTTTTTTCACGGCGTATCGGGCGGGTACCGGTATACCTTGAAAAAATCAATGGCTTTTTGTGAAAATTCTGTTCCAAACATTCCAGTCCCTAAGTTTGAAAACTCGTTGAGAAGTGAACAGCTATTTAAGCGGTATCACAACCCACAGGGCAGGCATGCAGGCATGCGCTTTAGTAACCATGAAATCAGGCTAAAAAAAGCTTCTATGCATTTCTTATGTATTGGTATTAGTTTAATTGTTGGAGAATCACATGTTCTTTCAGATATTCTTACTTTTTCGGAGTCTGATTCATTATTCCGCAACCGACTTCGCTGTAATCTTGACATGAGGTTGTTATCAGTGCAGATAGTCCTCAGTGAACCTTCCAAAATCGTTAGAATTACAATCGGCTTACGTTACTGCGACTCCACCTTCTTCAAAGCTTGAAAATTCGGGGAACATTTGACACTGACCCACTCAAAGCGTTACATACTCAAGCGGTGTTTGCTGCGTCAAAGTCCTTCCGCGTGTAAAGATAAGGGCACCTTAATCGGGCCGTCTGCCACACACGAGACCGTCCAACCAGCGGAGATGGTCACCGAGGAGCGGTCGAGCACCAAAGGTATGTGATTTGTTACGATCAATATTTTAGAACTTTTCAATGATTTATGTGAAACGCGGATTTCCCGAAGTTGTGTGGGAAAAGATTCAGGCTCCATCGACCACCATGAAGTTTCTGAGGGAAGCGCTAAAAGGCTTATTTCACATTTTTTCATTCATTAGACTGCCCCAAAAACTCAGTGCCATTTTCATTTTTTTTCGAATCAACTTTTTTCGAATGAGGAGCAATTTTGATTAACAATATATGTATATTGTTGCCAATCATCAAGCAAGGAGTGGTTCCTTGCTTCCAGAAGCTTTTTGTTACGTGCCCAGAAACGCAGCTGGGTCAGTGTTGAAGTGCTTTTGAAAATCGTGTTTTTTATCCAGAAGATGGCCGCTGAAGGATCAGTTTTAGATGGCATTCAGTAATGAGTCAGGGCTACACGGAATGTGTTGGAATACCTCAGCTAACTCCAAGATCTCGAGTACTCTCATTTTCGAGCTGTGGTGGAGTAGGTAAAACTTGCAGGGTTGTGGCACCAAAAGTTAGGGATTCTCATCCTCTCTCTCTGCAGGACTAGCTGGATATCTTAGCGTCTGGAGCGAAACAATTACCTGCGGTAAAACCCCACCACATACACGGTATTACCGCCCTGCTGGATTGGTACGTTTGCACGACCGATTCTGCCCTCCCTAGACGTTCTAGCTACTGGCGCTTCTGGGAGTGGTTCACCTACAGACAGCTCCGCCATGCGCAGTTATAACGCTGTTCACTCAGCCCCTACGGCGCGGAGCGTGCGAGAATTCGTAGACAGTACCGACATGCGCTCCCCTTAGTATCGATCAATTCATGAGAAAACTCCTGACCGAACTTCGATATTTTTTAGGGAGTGAGAACCTCTGTCATTTGTGCTTCTGGAACAGTCAAGTGTAAGGACTAGATAGCGCATTGATACATAAGAACTTGTTTAAATCAAAGAGCGCAATAGGTCCAATCTCAGGACAGATGGCTTCCCTGGTTCGTCTCCCACGTGAATGTCACTTAAGCGGAAGCGATCGAGCCACTCCAACGCCATGCTATGCAAGGTGGCATCAGGACCTAACTCAGACCAAATGCCGCGTGTGGCTCCTACCACGCTGGGACGTGGTGGAGGTTCATATAGCGAAGTGTGACGAAAATGATGAAGTTCATCCGCGTTTGGGAATGAGAACAACGAAGGCGAGGGACGGTAAAGCTCAGTTAAGGGGCTTCCCTAGCGGGTAGAACACATACTGGATCTCGAAATCCTGGGAGAAAATCTGTTACGAGACTTTGAAAATGTCACGAATTTCTCGAGCAACCTAATAGATACACAAATGTGTGAGCCTCTTTTTTACCACAATCTTTGTTATGCCTATTTTTGCCATGCTGTCCTTTCCGGTCACGCCCTGCATTTTAGCGCAATCATTATTTCCTGCAGACCCTATGAACTTTTCAGATTTGCTGAGATGATATCACTTCTTCTGAGCAGCCAGCACGTTGGGTCAAAGATCACTCCGCGATTGTATATTGTGGATAGTGACGTTCAGTTGCAGAGCCTGCAGGCGCTGAATGACTTTTTAGGGACCCACTCAGGTCATTCCTTTGTCCTTTTCCCCTCAGACAACAATCAAGGTGAAAAGTTCCAAAGAGTCTTGTTCGTCCTGATTCACATGAAAAACCTGATAAAGATGCCGAAAGCTGTCGCTGCTCCACTTACGCGGTGTAAAGAATTGACTCGAGTTGCGACTCTTTTATTCATTTGTTGTTATTTTCTGCTTATGTTCTATTCGCAACACCTTTTCCGATCGCACTAGACGGATGTGTGGTGGTTCGGTCTTAAGAACGGTAGTTAGACTCACCTGGTCAGGGCTGGCGGTCTAATATGAAAAAAGAATCGCAGAACTGCACAAAAATAAATAGAAACAAAAAGGTCGAAAACCAGCAAAATACGCCCCCCCCCAACTCTCCCCCCCCCCCACCCAGGCTGTCGATCGATTGCGGTGGGCGATACATTTATGCCATCACCGACAACCAGGCAACGTCAACGCCGCGCCTTCCCACCCTGATATAGGGGCCAGGACAGGAACCTTGAACAACAGAAAAACCACTTCGAAAAAAAGGAGACATTCTCTTCCTAGTGATAACAAAATCTTTCCGAAAGGCTCAGTACTTGAAAAAATCCGTTATGCAAGAGATCTACCTTTTGCGCGTAAGTTACCACCTTTCGAGGGCCACAACTCTGCTCACACATAACTTTTGAATAAGGATTTTAAATTCAGCGATGGCTCAATTTTCTACTGGGAAATGCTGCTGCAAATTGGACGAGTAGGTTAGCTTTCCTTCAAGCATTGAGAGGGTGTATTTTTGATTTATTCCCCACAACTCCATCCGAAAGCCACAGAGAGCTTACAGAACACGTCTTCTATCTGCGATTAATGCCGGTTGATGTGAAAGGGATTAATAGACTCAGATATGGGGTGCGCCATGCACATGACCTCCTTCACATTTCTGTGAACACTCAAAGCCAAGTCGCTCTATGGAACGCTTTCTGAAACTGATGACACCCTCGTGATCGTGAACGCGAACTCAGTGAGGGTGAGCACCAAACAGCACAGAAGTTCATAGCTAAGTTTGACGGAGCGGACGAAAATCTGCAGAAGACCGTATGTGAGCAAGTCTGCAATATATTATAACAATGGTCAGCAGTATCATTAGAGCTCGCAAGTGATAGGCTTAGATGGCTTAATAATACATTTCAAACAGGTTTGTGCGTATCGAACTTTCCAAACCCTAAACACACATTTGCTTGCAAGAGCAAAAATGAAATCAAAGTTACACGTTTCCACCACCTCTGCGTAGAAGCGCAATGCACGGAGCACACTCGGATCGATGACAACCAAATTATGCTTCGTCAGTTCAACGAAAATATGTGTTTTGAAGGGGTATTGGGGTACGAGATGAGTATCCTTACAATGGCACACAAGGAGTCGAGCTTCCGAGTGGCTCAGAGTGTCGCCCAAGCGTGATCTTCTAAACTATCAGGTCTTCAAGAAAAGAGTAGAGCTTGGAAGAGAGGAAATATTGGGCATTCTTACGACGCTTTCGGTTTCACAAAGGACTGCGGAACAGGGTGCAGTATTGTTGTGTGAGACACATAGGTGTGTCGTACTTTTCCTCTGGGGAGAGGGGAGTCGTATTCGGTCGTTGGGAGGGGGGGGGATCGTATGTGCCTTCAAAAAAATGTTTCCTGGCTGTTGACTTTCCTTTTCGCGTGATTTTTCCTGTTTCATGTGTATTATAGTCCCGCCTCCCCCTCCCCCAAAATTTCGAATTTTCGAGCAAAAGTTCTTTTCTTTTCGCAAGTCGGAAATTCTCGGGAAATCTCGGAAAAAGTGGTAGGAAGTTGGGGATAGTTCAAGAAATTTATCCATTTCGCATTGGTAGGTGCAGGTAGGTCTCGGGGAACGGAGGGGTGGGGGGGGGTCGTACAGAGACCCCCATATAGGTGGAGAGGGGAGTCATACTGAAACCCTGTCTCGGAGGGGGGTCGTACCAACACCATCATTTCACACATCAGGAAGCTGTACCCTGCTGCGGAAAGAAGTTATTCTAATCTAAAGCATAAAAATCGCTCGCGATTTACCACTAACGGGTCCGTAACCGATCCAAAATATTTCACGAACGGGGGAAAATCCAGACTGAGTAGGTACAAAACGCAACAGTAGAGGCACTTTTTCAAGATGCCGCCTTTCAATTCCCGAATGCTCCACGCTTAAAAAAAGCTCCGCGATTTCCACGCGGCCAGTAGATCTGCTCCTCCGCTAATTTGCCAAGGAATCATGTCGCAGCGGCAAGCGTCGTTACGTATCTCATCCTTCTCGTCAGAGCAAACAATTAGAGCCTTAAGGTGGGGAGGGGGGAGGGGGTCGTACCAGGATCCTTCTCCGTGGAGGGAGGGGGGTCGTACTAACACGACCATTTCACACATGATGAAATCTATGGTAGAGGGAGATCTAGCTATTTCGACCAACCACTAACTAACGGTGAATAGCTGAGTATGACTCCATGCCCTCATGGAACTCTGAAGTTTCAAGTTTGTTCCGCCTGATTATGTTAGCACTACCACGTTTGTTGTTTTTTTTCGTTCTAATTTCTTGCTACATTGGTAAATCAACTCTTGAAAAACAACCTGAAAACGATCCTTTCCTGTTCGGTAGTAACCAAATCGAAATGATGGGATTTTAATTTTTCAGGCAGTGACATGCAACTGGAACTCCCGTTGCCGCCTGAGAAAACGGAGATGTACACCAAGTGGGGCGATATGCTTCGACATTGGCCGAAAACCACATTATGTATCGTCTCCAATGAATTTTGTGAACGTTTCTCTTATTATGGAATGAGAAGTGAGTGAGGGTCGTTTGAGCCATTTATTCATTTCTTTATTAATTTATTTACTTATTTTTTATAGAGTGGCGGAAGACACTTGAAGCAAGTCAGTGTTGCGCCCTTCTTAGAGTTTTGGAAGGTTTTTTCTCGAAGTCACACATAGCTGTTCTATTTTCTCGGGTACCAAGAAAGGCTGCTGAATCATTAGCGTCCACCATGTCGCGCGTATGTCGAAGAATATGACATTGTTGTAACGAGTGGTAGAACCCTCCTACCCTCCTATTATCCTACACTGTCTCAAAGCAGTAACAGCCGGCACCCGTCGATACCTGTTTATCCCCGCGTTCTCGTCATAACATTGGAGAGCGTTTGAGCGCTGCTGCATTTAAGTGCGTCGATGCGCGTTACAGCGCGCTGACGCGCGCCATCGGAGTCTTAAGATGAGATGCATCGTTTGGTGGACCATGTATTGTGCAAAAGGGATCCTGATGGGATTCATGCGCGGGATGGCCTGTCATTCACTACTGGTATCCGTATGTGACAGCAGGTTATTTCGCTTCCAACGGTGGGGCCCCTGGGCTCTTAAACCAACGATTACGTGAAACGTGGGCCGCATGTAATAAATAAACCATAGCACTATATATAGTTTCACATAAAACCCTCAAACGGCAGAACAACTTTTACAAATATAACTGAGTAAACGACATTGCCGAGGCAACAGAAGGGAAGCTGGAGGATATTCCGAAGAGCAGAGTTTTTTCGAGTTGTAATAATGAGTATTTCTATTCCATTCTCCACAACTTCTTTCAGCCCACGCAGAATGCCTGCGAGACATTTTTCCATCTGTAATTAATGTCACTTGATAGGCAGAGGACTGGTAGATTCAGCCATAAGGTGAGCCACGCTCACAACCTCCTTCACAGTTCTAGTAGCACTCAAAGCCATGCTTGCTCACGAAAAAGCTTTCTGAGTATGATGACATGATTACTCTAGTTG